TTTTGCAAAAATATTGAGGTTACTTAGCTATTGCTAGTTGATCTACTTCTATTTTTATTTTTATTTTTTTGAGTGGTATGACTAGGATTAATCACTAGTTTTTTTGTTGCATTTTTCTTAAAGCTTGATAGATGGGGAGACCAAGAAAAAGGCTACACAAAATTATTATTTGTGAGAATAAGCTAAGTAATGAACCTTCTATATAAAATCATAGCAATAGTGAATGAACTTTAGCCAACATCCAAAACCAGCCAACTCAAAGCATAGCAGTCAACACCTAAGGCACAAACCAAAACTACTCAGACCAATGCAACTAATACCCAAGGCCTATGCTAGCCAACTCAAATCATTACAGCTAACTCCCAATGTACTAACCAAGAAAGTTAGAGCAATGAAACTAATGTCCAAGGCCTAAGCCCCTAAATCATTGTAGCCAACACCCAAGGCACTAACTAGGGAAGTCATACTACTGCAACCAATACCTAAGGCCTAAACCATTTAATTGAGACTAACGTAGGACTTGCTAATGATAGAACATAAAGGAGGAAAAGAGGTAGAGAAACTATGAGATGTATTTGGAGACAACCAAGTAATGAGCGTGTTATCGTTAGGGCTAATTGTTTTGGGTAGCTTGTAAGGGATGGTGCAACTGAACTTGGTAACTTTTAGGAGGTAATTGTGAGGAATCCTTAGCTTTATTCATTGACCTTTCCAAATTAGAGGAAAGTGTCAACCACGACCAAGATAGTTGCATTTGCCACCATAAAGGTAATTTTATTTTCTATAATTGAAATTGTCCTTGTATCATTTAATATATATTAGGCACTAAATTGAAAAAGTAACTTTTAAATTATTTTTACTTGTATTTAGCAGCAATACTTTTCATACGAAAGTACCATAAATAGTTGGGTGAATAAATTTGTTGGTAAGAAGTGGAAGGATCATAAAAGCTAGTTGAAGGGAAAATTTTATTATCTTGAAAAGTTTGAGGAGGAAAATGCTAGAAATGTTCATTGCAATATGTCACCTAATGATTGGCAGTACTTGATACACTATTGGAAATCTGCTGATGGCAAGGTATGTAATTTTCTTTTAGTTGTTTAGTTTGTTTGATTACTTAAGTATTATCAATAATCCTAACTTTTATAAGAAAAAGGAAGCAGAATGCAAAAATATACTTTGTCATTTAGCCTTCTACAATATTACAAGAGTTTCAAAGTGGTGTTTTGTCGAATTATTCTTGTTTATGCCAAAATGTATCTTGTTTGGATTTTAGGGTCAACAAGAAGTGCCAACCTTTCTAGATGCATCTTAGAGTAATGATGCTATTGGTGGTAGCAATGTAAAGCATTTGTCTATGAAAATTTCAAGGCTGTAAATTTCAAGGCTGTAGTGAGTTTAAGTGTTTGTAGCAAAATTGTGATTTTTTAGTAATTTTGTGTTTGAATATGACAACTCAAGCTCTTGGATACTCTTAAACATAGTTGCATGCTATTTGGATATCATTATCTATCATTTTTTGGAGATAGTATTTGGTGTATTCAATTTTTAGAATTTAAACATTTGGATATTATTATTATATTTTCTTTAGATATGACAAAATTAGGCATTTAATAATATGTCAATTTTGCATAGATTTTTGATTAATTGATGTCATATTTGGTTTGATTAATTGTGCTTGATCTTAAATGGTTTTGTCAACAAATATGTAGTGCTTTGGTAGGCAAAAAATAGTGAGAAAAAAAAAAAAAAAAAAGAGGCCTTGCATTTGAAATAAGTGCAAGTAAAAACAATAGTTATTTGAGACCTTTCCATAGGCATCACTTGCATTTTTTACTGTGATTTCCTTGCATTTTTAGTAAATGTAGGGGAAAAAAAAGTTTATACCAATGTTTGTATAAACTGTAAGTGTGGTTTTACCGACTCCCCTTGTGCTAGAATTTGTGTGGCATTTATGCAAATGCTAGTAACTTTTTTACTTGCATTTAAAAATGTAGGTAAATCCCTTAACAAATGTAGATAATAAGCCTTTTTCTTGTAGTGTCTTGAAAATTCTATCAAATAAAAAAGTATTGT